CAGATACTTATTTTGCATAGGGCATGAGCTGAATATTCTACTAGGTCAGGACAATACAGCAGACAACAAGATCCTGTCTTGGGCCCCAAAGAGCATACAGTAGAGATAGGCACACTCTAGGACAATGCCAGACAGCCGCCCCACAGAGCACAGCAGCTACCTAAGACCTTTGCAAACTGTGCCCCTCCGCCACCGCACAGGTGTTAACTTTGCCTTCTTCATCAGGATACAATAAGCAATAACTATTATAACTAGTTGTGGGGCGTTTTGGAAATGAAAGTGCTACCAAAGAGCTGAATCATAGAACATAAGATTAAATTACAGGGTAGAAGCAGTTCTCATAGTATGTTCAGTATTTATGTCAATGGTATCAGACTGCTACCAGTGAAAAGGTATTTTAGGTAAATAAAATTGCCTGGCTCTTACGAAATCAAAACACTTCTTGTGTGAGCAGGAGAGATTGTAGAATCTTATATTTTTGGCATTACATGAGCTAAGTATAGTTGAAATATCACATATAGTCCAGAGTTTCTACACCTGTGTAGAAACTTCTATTAAGAATCTTCTGCATCTTGACATTGGTTGGAAGTATTTCTCTAATAGCTTTTACATGCTGAAACTACATAAGACCATTATTTGCCAATAAGGATTCTATTTTTACACTCCGAAACTACGAGGAGGTTCTTTAAGCTAAATGAGAGGAATAGCTATCCCCTTTGTGATTAACCTGTCAGTATGTTAGGTTTGGAGAGTTACTATCAGGGGCTTATTACGCCCGAGCCTTTCTGATTTTACTTATGTTTTGAAAGTTTATTAATTTTCTCAATAGGTACCATTTTATATCCCTTTCTACATCCTCAGAAGAGGAAGAATTTATAAAACTGGGCCTTTCTTCTAGATGCTTGTATATAGTCATTCTTAGACCTATGATTGAGATTCTCAAAGTGTAGGAAAAGGAATAGATCCTTTTTGATAGTCATTAATATTCTGTGACTATGAACTAAATCGTATTTTAACACTAGTGCTTATATGTTTTTACCAGCATTTTCACCCAAATTAAATGGGTGTGCTACATCACAGTGTTCAGCCTCTGGTGTAACAGACCCGGATGACCTGTCAGGGGGGATCATGATCTTGCAATCTCTCTTTCTTCTGACCAATAGGATTTTTTTTTTGTCTTAGTTTGTAATGAGGCAATTCTCTAATTTCATCATACGCAGAGACAGCAGAAATATTCAAAATCTAACTTTATATGCATGCCATTTATTTGAAAATATATATTGATATAATTATTACTTGGATGAGAGATCTTCCTTTTTCATTGTTTGTCTTCCCCTATTTTGCCAAATTCAATACCATGGAGACTTCCACACAGCTGCCTATCATCTTATGTCTTCCACGTATTTGTGCTTTGTCCTAAGGACCAAAAAGCACGGACGTCCTTTTGTCCTTAGTATATTATCTTTGTACATTTCCATTTAGCATTTCTATTGAGAGTAAACAGATAGCAGCACGAACATTAATAACCCACGCATCAAACATTTTTGCTGTACTTCATAGCAGTGAACAGTTAAGGCTAGAAAACTGCGTTTAATACTCTTTTCAAAGCTTGGTTGTTACATAAAGTATCAGTTTAGTGATTGAAGACAGTAAGTAAAATATGTAGTCAAATCGATAAAAACAGGACAATTAATTAAACCAATGTTTTTTCAGAAAAAAAGCATCTGACTTACATGCATTGCATGGCAGAGTATTACTAAAATTTACCTAAACAAACTCTCATCATGTTTTCAGGTTTTATGGGAACGCTTTGGCTATACAGTACTTGGATTTGAATTCTCATAATGAGAAAGGCTCTTAACAGTTACTTAAAAAAAAAAAAAAGAAAGAAAGAAAAAGAATGGAAAAAAACCACAGACTATACGGTTTTTATAAAATATAAGTCATCCTAATTATATTTGTACTAAGATTGTGAAACTGTACTATACTAGTAGGAAGAAGGTAAAATTGTTTATCTACTTAAATGTTGAAAAGTAGCATCAAGTGCATTTTAGAAAAATATCTGGTAACTTGCAGCACTTTGGTAAAGGAACGTGCAATTATGAAGGTTTATGCCATTTTATTGTTTTCTAATTCCCAGGAATGATTCTTAACTAGGGTTTAGATTCAAAACCAAACTCAATTTTAAGACCAGCACTTTTTTCCTACCGGTAATTCCCGGTTTTCCAATCCTGTAGACCATTTAATTTAAACCATTTTTTGCAATGAGTTTTAGCTTTCCTTTTCTATCCTAACTTCAAAATCTTTACCTTAAGAAGCATTTTAAATGAATCTGTTGGTAACCAGGAAAATATTTTAGGTATCATGGCCATCTAAGCACATGCCAGATTTTCGTAATTTTCCGATAAAACAACTGAATTCCTAAGAAAGAATATTCATACATTTTAATTCCTTTTTCATTTGTTATAAATAATTGAGTGGTTGATGTCCACACAGTCATAATTTATCTAAAATCTGGAGCTGCCAAGACACCCATGCTATGCTTCAAACACACCCACATCTCCCAAAGAAACATGACAAGACTTAGAAGAAGTAGAATTCTGTGTCATTACTGCTATTATATACATATTTTTGTATATATACACATATATATATATACACTACAGTATGTATATGTACTTCTACTGAGTTACCAGTATCTTACCATCTTACACCCATGGGTAGCAGAAGCAAAATGAATATAAATGCTTTACATTAGATGTTGGCATCAACATAGATTATGCATAAACTGTTGCAATAAAAGATACTCATTGTGCCTGTATCTGAAGAATTTACCTTGAGTTTTCCCTGGCCCTTTTCATTTAAGGCTGCACAGTCATCTTCAATGTAAAGATGACAGAACACAAGAATGACTGAATGAAATGATGGCCTGTGTGCCACGAGATAAACATTCTGTTGGATTTGCCGAGGGGTATTGGCTGCTGTGTTATGTAACCATACGGTTTATTATGACATGAACTGTCTTGTTCACAAGCAACCATGTGAGTCTTATGTACAAATCACAGCATTTAGAAGTTACACGTCTTTCCCTTTCTTCACAAAATGGACTCAGAATTGACAATTCACATTTATAATTTTAAGCTGCTAATTATTAAAAATTACCAGATGAATTGAAGAGTAAATGGAATAAGAGCTACCAAAAAAACACTAATTAATAACACAACCCTGTGTACTATCAACCTTCTGACAACGTTGAGTTGCTTATAAAGCCTTAAAATATTTTAGTGAAAAATTAAATACCTGGAACAAAAGGCACTTTATTACCTTGAACTAGCGATGTCTGTATAGAATTTGTCTAAAATCCCTTATTCGTTATCCTTTCATAAATTTATCCTAGTTATATGTTTTTCTAAAGCCTCTTATAGGATAATGGAATAATCCAAACTATTTTAACTTAACAAAAGATTGTATTACATAATATAACCAAGGAACAATACAGAAATAAAATTCCAGTAACTGAATCGTATGTGATACTGGCAAAACTGTTAGTCTAAGTCTACAGTCATTTGAGATTTTAGAATGTTGTTAAATTTGAAGGCTTTTTCATTAAACATTTTTTGGGCAGTTGTAAGTTTTTAACCTTATTTTTAATTGGTACTACCTGATCTTGAAATGTTAATCAATGTAAGCCAGCATATTATGACTCATTTTTGGTTTAGTTGAGTTTTTCTAACGTAACCCTAAAACATTATAAAATCAGTTTATTTCTTCTTTGCTCAAGTCAGCTGTGCCTGGTGAATTATCAGATTTAAATCATCAACATGGATGTACTGCTGTGTATAAGTTGTTTCCTGCTCGGAAAATTAGTAGTTGATTTATACAATAGTTTAGTTCAGTAGAAAAAGAAAAGGATAATTTTTTTCAAAAGAGTTCAGCCCTTTTAAGTGAAACTTCAACATCTTTCTGATATCATAAGGATAGGCTTTTACCCAAGAATGTTTTTCAACAGAAGAATATTTCAAACTTTGCTTTCTTATTTGTTTGGGGGCAGTACACTTAAAAACACTTTGTTTCTATAATGTTACATATTTTTAAGTCTTTCTCTGTGGTGGCCATTTTTCTATCTTTAGTTTTAAACATTTCACTAACTGTAAATGCAGTTTCACAGACAGAGTAGTCATTCACATGGTATAAAAAGGAGTCCAATTTATCGGAGGTCTATCCTTCCCAAGGAGAGACCGAAGACCAATTTCATGTGTACTGTTTGGTTTGTTTCTTTGTTTTCTTTTTAAATAGGATATATTAACCCAAAGGTGTGTTAATGTCATGGCATGAACAATCTTAAATGTAGACCTATTGAGTATTTTGTTATGCAGAGTAGCAGACGTTTCTCAAATCTCTGTGATGCTAAATATTTTCCTTAGAGAGTTTTGTTTAATGTTAGATTGTTGTTCTGAAAGATGTTGGTCCTAGTGGGGTTTTTAAAAACTTGGAAAACAAATAAACGCATGTATTACAAGTAGAGCAATGGTGAATTGTAAACTTAACCATATAGTACTGATTCTATTTTCAAAAATGTTTTGCTGTGAGATATATAACATAAAATTGCTGCCGTACTGTAATTGAGTACTTTTTCCTAAATGACCCTGTTATCACTATTCCAGGCTTAGAATTTGGGCAGATACATGACTAATTCATGTGTCTGCATAGATGCTTCAAGGTATATTCTTCTCTTGGTGAGTAAAAGTCTATTTTCCTCGGCGTCAAAGCTTTGAGATCTGAATATACCTGTATCTATCTGTCCTCACTGCACATTTCTTATACAGTAGCTTCTCATGTGCCAAAATTGGCCTAGACACAACTAAAAATCGAGGGTTTGTTACATGCTTTCTCACAGAAAGGTTTTCAATGTTATTGATTATAGGTTTGTACTATGAAAATAGTGGCACTCCCTTTGAAATTTCATATTTGCTAAATTTAAATTAATATTTTTTCTTTAGCTCACAAATTACCCTAAACCCAGAGGGAATATCAACCCTTTTCACTGTTGTCAAATCAAGCATAAGGAACCACCCTATGATACTACAGAAACAGCTGAGGAATAAGGACTAAGTCTCTTGGGTTACACCTCAGAATAAAGGCGTTCGGTGAAAGACACGAACAAAGTTCCTCGTGAATGCAAAGCATCTGTACTTGGCCTAAGACAAGTATCAACACCATTGGCATCATTTCCAAACCGATCTTATGTGAAATACCTTCCAGCACTTTGGAGTCCTTCTCACCTCTATCGGGTTTTGGTTTTTGTTTTTTTTTGAATTCGCCAAACCTTTCACCTTTCAAACCACCATTTGTCAGCACCTGAGGTAGTGAGACGTATAGATTTGAAAATACTTTCTTAAGAGATCATGTAACTATCTAACTCTGCATTGAAAAATTTAGGTGGGGAGGAATAATTTCAACCCACTTTCTCTTACAAGACACATTTTTTTTAAATCTGTAACTGCTTTAGTGTTAACAGGGTACAGGTGGGGGTTTGTCCTGTATTGTACTTAAAAGATTCTCATTTATTGTGACTGTATTGTACTGTATGAAAACAAATCATAAATTGCCTTGTATTGTTTATAATAGACCATACCACGTACTCCTTCAGTTCTGATGTTCCAGATTTTTCAGTGATGCATGTTAACAGTTAGGTCCTAAAATTCTGTGGTGCTAATTCTTCCATATCCGATGGTGCTTTTGTGGATGCTAACTGCATACATGCTGAACAAAGCTTGAAGTTTAAAAACTTTCCTCCCTTCCTCTGTTTATAAGAAGTAAAATAAAATAACTTGAATTTGTCTCAAAGTATCACTGACAATCTAATAAACTTGTTTATATGTGTGATTAGTTTGGATTCTTAATTATTTTACAGAGAGAATCTCAGCTCTCATGGGCGCCAGAAGTTGAGCTCATGTTTATTGCATTATTTCATTTATGCCCCCAAATTCGAGGTATCTTTCAGTGAATTGATTTGTGTGTGTGTGTGTGTTTTACCTTTGGGAATTTAAATCCAGTTGGCCTGGCATCTAAATTCATGTTTAGGTAGGGTTTATAAAAACTAGACCTATCAAACCTGGAAATAAGGAAGTTGAGAAGCCCAAAAATGTGCCGATAGAATGTCTTTGCTAGTTTCATTTTTTACTAATTAAGTTTTATCATCTGGTTGAGCCAGGAGAAAACATTGGCATGAAAGCAAGTATGATTTCAAAACCTTCATTGCAACTCAAATGACATTGAAAAGGCCAGTCCTATTTGCTAATATTTAAAGTAACAGGTCTACTCCTTATTATGAAAATAAGGAACGCCCCAAATTAGAATTTTCTAGGACAAACTTGACATCATTTGCTGGAATGGCATAATCAATAAATTCATGACAATAGTTTTATTGGATTTTTAGCTTCAGAATCTAAATTAAGAATCACAACAGTAGGGCATGGGAAACTGCTAATATCTTCATGATGGCAGAGGGCTGTTTCTCCCAAGCCAGAGATAAATTCAATATGAAGGCAGCGTTTGTTTGCATTCTGAGCTTGGTATTTTGCCTAACCCGTGGGTAATGTTAAAAAGAAAAGAAAAAGTCAGAACAAGTGGATTAAGACTTCTCAAGCCACAATCACCGACCTTACCTAGAAAATGATCAAATGCATCGATCTAATCTAGCAACCCCAATGACTGAAATGACACCCCCATATTACTATGGTTCTTTATTATATAAAGAGTGGAAGCCACAATAATTTTATCTCAAATAGCTATTAAATCATGTGTGACTTCCAATATCAGAAAATGGAGTTTAGGGAACAGAACCAGTGTGAGCCCTGGGCTTGCTTCTGTGACTGTCTTGAACAAATGCAGGACAGTAGACCCTCTGTGGTCGATCACCTCCTTCAGGTGCTGGACTGGACATGGACCACATGTACATATCAGTACAACAGGCCTAGTTCCTTATGGTGACCACCTCTGTATGTTGACCAGAGTGTTATAGTCCCTTGGATGGTCAACTTACAGAGGTTCTACCATATTTAGTAAATACAGCATCTGTTCAAAGATATTTCTACAGTACGTTTTTTGTAACTTCCTTTACAGCATTCCATTTTATGAAAACTGATGAACAATAAATATGCTACAAAATAATTCTACGTTTTCTTTAATGAAAAAGAAAGAGAAAATAAGTAGGTCTTCATTTTGGAAAATCTTTATTTCTTTGGTAATATCGTCCTTGTTAATAGCAGAAAAATTAATCCTAATTTTAGGAAAGCATAAGAGATGCTTTTGGAAGAAAAACTATCTGATCTATATGAAAAGGTCAACCAAATTTCTGTATTAATTTCTACCATAATGTTTGTCCCACATAAAAAAGTTATTCCTAAAATATTTATCAGCTTGTGGCGAGCGCCTGTAGTCCCAGCTGCTTGGGAGGCTGAGGCAAGAGAATCGCCTAAGCCCAGGAGTTGGAGGTTGCTGTGAGCTGTGATGACACAGCTTTATCACCAAGGGTGATAAAGTGAGAGAGACTCTGTCTCTTAAAAATATATATATATATCAGCAGTTTTTGGTAGTATTAAAATTATTTTTTAAATTCATCATCCTTAAAGTAAAAGAATATACTTTGTAAATTTGGTTCATTTATGGAAATATTGTAGTCTCTCTCTAAGTGAAATCATGATTTAAGGTTTTTGGGGGGTTTTTTGCAGTTTTTGGTCAGAGCTGGGTTTGAACCTGCCACCTCCAGTATATGGGGCCAGTGCCCTACTCCTTTGAGCCACAGGTGTCACCCCTAAGGTATTTCAATTACACAGTTATATCTGTCTTTATAGTTATTTTGGTAAATTGTCTTTCTTGTTCCTAAAACAATAATTTCCCTTAGAGAACTTATGTTCAAGGTGTCTTCCCTAAATTCTTGTAGGAGAGCATATTCAAAACAAGATTCAGATGTTCTGCATTAAGGGAAATCTTTTGAAATAGATTCTGCTAAAAACCTAACCTTACTCTTCTTTTTTTTTTTTTGAGACAGAGTTTCACTTATTAACCCTCAGTAGAGTGCTGTGAAGTCATAGCTCACAGCAACCTCCAACTCCTTGGGCTTAGGCGATTCTCTTGCCTCAGCCTCCCAAGTAGCTGGGACTACAGGCGCCCACTACAATGCTAGGTTATTTTTTTGTTGCAGTTAGGCCGGAGCTGGGTTTGAACCTACCACCCTCGGTATATGGGGCCGGCGCCCTACCGCGTGAGCCACAGGCACCACCCCTAACCTTACTCTTAGGGAAGTAATTATTCTCAACGGGAATTGCTTTCAGCTTGAAAATGGCCAATAATAATAATCTTTACATACTTAAGAAACAAACAAATCCAATGAAATCCTCATCATTTCAGATTTGTCTTCATACATTTAAAGAAAACTACTGAACTCGATACTGACTAATTTGCACTAAAGTGCAAATGTTACCCACTATTTTGTCCTTCACAGCTGCTGGCAGAAGATGAAGAGACTCCTAGAAAATAACTAAAAAGTAGTACAATTGCCACAAAAATATGTAGTGGTAGCAGTTCATAAGACTAAATAAATCATAACACACAGTGGCCTCAGGCCTACACGTACCTCTTCCAAATTGGTCTCCTATTCCCCGAGTGGTGGGATTAGCGTGTTTGCTATTATAAAAGATTGTTAAAAAGACTGGCACAGGAAGATAAAAAGGACTCTGAATGAAAGAGTTGGTCCTCAGCTTTACATATTTAGAAACCCAGCTCATCCCGAGTGAGTTCACAAGAGATTCCTTTTAAACAAAGTCATGAGGAAAACATCTTGAGCATCAGATACCCAACGGAGAAACCGATTAGTTTACAACAAAAAACAAAGTGATACTCCTGAGGAGGATTGGAAAGCTGCTGGGCGCAAGAAGTGAACTTAGACATGTTCTTTTTTACTTTTTAAAGTATTATTTTATGATAAGCATGTATTATTTTGTAGTTTTTAAAATGACCTTTTGAGACAGGGAAATGAAGGGCTAGGCAGACTAAAATAGCTGTATCAACTGGTCAGCACATTCTCTTTCCTACTCCTGAAAGACCTGCTCCTAAAATCTGATTAACATCAGGATGTTGCTTGGCAAATATAAAATCAAATAAAGGGAAATGAGTAATATTCATGAATAGCATCATGCTACGAGGGGCTCCATGACGCACACCCACCAAGGAAGCAGGAGTAATCACAGAGCACACTCACCCCAAGTCAGAGACGGAAACTGCTAACAAATGTGAAGCCTTCGAACATTTTTTTCTAGATTCCGTGTGATTCACCATCTTTCAGCATGGAAATATTATTGCTTATATGATATAATGAAGCCACATGTCCTTACATTTAGTATGATTTTAGGAAGCTCAATGATATAATACCATTTTATAATTTCCATTCATCATTAAGCATTGTCATTAATCGTGTATTATTATATAATCATCTACTTTCTTTATTATATAACCATTTTATAATTATTATTAATCATTAACTTCATTATCATTAATTATTCCTTCTTATTATGAATGTCATTCATCATTAACAAAAGCTTTGCATGCTATAGCTCTCTGACCATGACCCTTCTTGATAGAGATTTGGGGAAAAATCCCAGTTCAGCAGAAGTGACTAATAAAAGACCAGGACCCTCCTCCCTTAACCCTCCTGGCAGACTTTGGGCATTCATTTCAACAGGCCAGACACAGTTCTAGAATCTTTCTCAACTCAGCACTCACCTGGCAGCCACTCCAGTTGACTGAGTTAGCATGTAAGATTGATATTGACCATTCTGCCTTAGAAGCCCAGCAGCATGTACACAGGCCTTCTGCATGAGTCTGGGTCCTCCAAGGAGCAGATGCCAAGATGGGATTTGATGTGCAAGAGATTTATTAGACTAAATGCCAGAGGGAAAATGGAGAAGGAGCTGGTGGAGGAGCCATCAGACTAATGCAGGTCCGTCCCCTGTGAAAACAGAGAGAAGGAGAGGAGAGGGAGGAAAGGAGGGAAGATGGGAGTAAGGAGATTATCCTTAGGCTACAGTACAGTTGTAAGCAAGTTCCAGCCCAGCCTACGGCGAGTCCTTGAGCCAAAGTCACCCTACAAGGTACTGAGGCACTGACCTGCCACACCCAGACAGGGGCTGGGAACAGCCTAGGAGTTGGTAACAGATTTCAGAGCACAGCAGCTGGGTCTGAGGGTCAATTAGATGGAGACACAGAACGTGCAGTGCAAAGAGGAGCCTGTGGTGTCCATGAAAATGCATCTCTGAGATTTCCTACCGCAGGGAGCACGGTTGGCCCCCAGGCTACTTCTGATTCTGCGAGGCTTGCTTCTAGGTAGTGTGGTGTTCACGTCTGAGGCCCGCACTGGGCACCTGCCTCTTGGCTGTGAAGTGGCCCCCTAGTTGGACATCTCTGTCTCTGCTGCCATGGCCACTCTGTTCATGGACCCATCCTGCCAATTCTAGGCTGCCAATAACAGTGTGCTTCATGTCAACTGGCCAAGTCATCTTGTCAACTGGGTTGTTCTGTGCCTCTCCCCAGAGGATGTTATATGTGATATAAAACTCATCACAGTTGGTGACCTCTCCCACGTATGGACCCACAAGCCTCGACCCCAAACCTCCTCACCCCAATCTTCCAGTCCTTTTCCTTCAGGAGACCAGACGGCCATGCCATTGACCACAACCCAGGAACTATAACTACTTTTACCTCAGGCCACTTCGTCCATACAAAGTGGATGCTTGCAGCTCCGCCCATGGGAAATATGGTCGGTCTCCTGGCAGAGGGATGCGGGCCTGTCGAGGGAGATAAGAATATGGCACTTTGGGCTGCCTG